GGGTTATGAGTCCAACTCTCTAACCATTAGGCCACGACTTCCTACGACATAATAGTCAAGGCTCCATTTGAAAAGTGCATATTTTCTTCTCTTTAACAAACAAATAGGCAAAAATGATTAAGAACAATATTTCAATATTTTACAATTATTACCTTTAAAATATATATCTCCTGTAATCAGTGTTTGCTCCTGTTGTGACTAAATGCAAGATACATTAATCGGTAATAACAATTATAATTTTTAAATGATAAAACTTAACCATTTTGAGCAAGAATATAATATATATATATATATATATATATATATATATATATAATACATTTTTCACTGGTAAAGTGCTGTTACACCCTTTTGGCAGCAGCTGGCTTAGTATTTTCAGTGTTAAGTCAGGATGCAGTGTCTCGTTCCCTACTCAGGGAACCATGGTTACATAAGTAACCTGAGACGTTTCACAGGCTTTACCCACAATACATTTTTCACTGGTAAAGTGCTGTTACGCCCTTTTGGCAGCAGCTGGCTTAGTATTTTCAGTGTTAAGTGTTTTGGTTTCTAATGAATAGCTCCACAATTATTAAGAATTCACTTGTGTCCTTTTGGCAGCAGAAAGAGCTCATCAAGAGCTTTCATTTGATTGATATGTTACTTGAGCCTTTCTGGTTCTCACCCCTCAATATATTCATATGCAGCATTGCTTATTTTATTTTGTTTTATCAGTATTATTGCTGCTGCTGCTTTAATAGTTGTTTGTGATTAAATACATTACAACAGCATTGGTTACATAATCTCATGCTTTAACAGTCCAGCTGTGTTTTAGCACTCATGTTGATGGGTTTCATATGCAGATGCATTTAGATCTGATGGCATATGTCCTTTTTATCATTTTTGCATGTATAGTGGCTCATTAGTGAAACCTGTCAGACCTGTCTGAGGTGTGTAATTGGTTTCTGATGAAGTTTAGTCATGTCTATGCACCGCCAAACAACACTTCTCTAGAATTTGCTGAATGCTCTACTATGCAGTTTTACAAAGCCTTAATTATAATGCACAGAAGAAAAAAAAGAAAAAACACACATTAGCCTGTAACTCTCCATGTCCCTGAAATGATTGTTTTGCTAAACTAAGCTGGTCGTTATGCTGACAGACGAACAACCACAGCATTAATAAATTAATTGGGTTGATTATCCACAGTGGGAGGATCAGGTCTTCAGATAGAGGAATGAATTATGATTTATTATTTTATTTTTTATTATTTCATATCGTCAGAGTATGACAAGGAAATTAAAAGGATGTATCCGTATTGTTTTAATTTATATAGCATGGCAAGACAATTATGGTTACATATAATTATCTGTCATGCAGTTGATAAATGACATCGCAATAAAGCTAATGTGTCTGCTGTGTGCCATTTACATTTTTATTAAACTTAAATTTTCTTCACTACATTGCAAAGCATAGACTTTTCCCTCCCCTTTATTTCAGGAAAATATGCTGCTCCTCGTTATTTTAAAGTGAAGAAATCGGGAACCTTTTATCTCTACCGGCCAGTGATGCTTCTGAAGGAACACACCTGGAATCTGTTGCTATGGTAACGGACGCAATTCCATGCGCATCGTGCTCTTATTCCAGTGCAGCTGTTAAGAATGTGGTTATTTCAGCAAACAGTTCCATACATTTTAACACGTGTTAAACTTTTATATATCATTCAATGGTACTGTTTAGAGATCAGTGATGCGCACGCATTTTAGACACTTTTTTTAATGTTTTTGCTCAGTCCATGTAATAAATGCACATCCTTTAATGAGCCATGCATAACTTCTGATGTGACCGGTTTCAGGGGCGGCCACAATTGCAGTCGATTGGAAAACATCACATTTTGACTCACTCCTATAGCTGGAAAACCCTCCTGACGTGTCAGAAGCTCTAACATCCATGGAGTGACTCTCTAATTTCTCATCCACATACTGCAGTGTCAAGGAGAATTTAAAAAAAAAGAAAAATGAATGGATGCAAAAGTACACGGACCGGTAGTTGCTCTTTTGTGCATTGTGGGTGTTATGGGAGGTGTGTACGTCTCCTGGAAGGTAGTTGAAGGACAGACACCACCGAGGGATCATAACTGTGCAGACTAATCTTAGCAGACGGGTGTTAAGAGACTCTGCAGCTGTCATCATGTCCATCAATAAAACCACAGAGACCACCAGTGAGAGCAGGTCAGTGGCAGCCAGATACTTCTTAGGTCTTTAATTGCATCAATTGTATGCCTGGTTTCAGCTGTAGGCTGCTACTTAGGGCACATGTTTAAAGTCAAGGAGTGTAGGCTCATGTGTTGAATGATTACACTGAATGCAAGTAGGTCCTGGACTAGACTGTGATAAATAACTAGATAATCTTCAAACATATCTTTGAGTTCTGACACACTCCATGTGAGGAGTGCAGGTAAGACTGACACTGACAGGACTGAGTAAACTAATGGTAGTTATTCTGTTCTGAACAGAATAGAGAAAAAACTTCGAAATGCATATTAAAGGAATGTACAGTCATTTAAATGTATTATTTCCTATAATTGATTTATTATTATTCTTTTACAGTAATCAACATTGTATTGTCCTTATTGTACTGTATGTAGTACTGGAGTTACACGTGTATCAGAACAGGCTGCAGTCAAGGTGAAGGTAATGTTTAAAGAAAGCTGCATGGTCTAGGGTCGAAGTGTAATTGGCGTGACGAGTTTAAACGAGCATAAACTTCTGATGGTTTGAGAGACGAGTCTCTAGCCATGATCTTTGTTTCAGCAGGATTCAATATTGGTCACTAATATTGTGAAAGTAGTGAAGGGTCGTTCGTTGTTACTATGGCGGGGGTTTTACTCAAGGAATATGGTTTCAGTTTGTATCAAAATTATTTTAGTGGTTAAAAAAATCAACATATTTTTCCGTTTAGGTCATCTTTTGGTGTTGTTTTAATGAGTTATGCATTCAGTGTCAAATGTGCCAAGTTTTGTGGCATGCCTGTTTGTTTGCAGTGAGCTAAAAAGGACAAAACCTTAGGCTATTTCATTGCACTGTATTTGAGATGTCCACTTTTCTTACTTAAAGTTTTTGCATTTGTATATTTTGTAGTGCTGTCAAACGATTAATCGCGATTAATCACATCCAACATAAAAGTTTTTGTTTACATAATATATGTGTGTGTACTGTGTTTATTTATTATGTATATATAAACACACACACATGCATGCATATATTTCAGAAACATATGTTATGTTTATTTTTTAAATATATTTATATATAATATAAATTATATGAATATAAATATATACATGTAAATATTTTCAAAATATATACTGCATGTGTGTGTATTTATATATACATAAGACATATATACAGTAGACACACATATATTATGTAAACAACAAATTTATTTTGCATGCAATTAATTGCGATTAATCGTTTGACAGGACTAATATTTTGGCTATGGGACACGTCTAGGGAAGGGAAGTGAGCATCAAATAATTCAATTAACTTCATCTCAAATCAGATTTAATAACATTTTGTAGCAATTCAAATGTCACTGCTTGTGCCATCCGTCTGTGTTATATAAATCTGGCAATTTTTCATACATTCATATTCAGCATTTTATTTTATTTTTGGACACACCCTTGAACTGTTTTGTTGTGTTTTCATGCCCCATGTGCTCAGTGTGACCCAGTTTTCCCCCGTCTTTGATTATGTTCACCTGTGTCCTCATTAGTTGATCCTCTACACCTGTCTGTCCCTCGTTAGCACCCCTATTTTAGTTGTGTTCATTTCACTGTTTGGTGTCTGGTCTGCTACGTCCTTATGTATGTCTATCCTGGGTTTACCCTTGTGTGCATTTATTAAAGTATATATTTGCGTGTATAGTGGCACATTAGTGAAACCTGTCAGACCAGTTTGAGGTGTGCAACTGGTTTCTGATGAAGTTTAGTCATGTCTACGCACTGTCAATCCGCATTTCTCTAGAATTTGCTGAATGCATTACTATGCTAGGTTGCCAATGTTAAACAGCAGTATTGTTTTGCTTTGTGTTTTTCAGTGTGGTTCAGCTAAGATAATGTTTTTTTGTTAGTACCATGGTTCTCCTATAACATATCTGAAGTCTGTGCCAGACGATGTGGAATGAAAGGGTTTCAAGTGTTTATTTTCCGAGCATCTAAGCATGTCAGATAATTAAAGTGTTGTGTTCTGTCCAAGATGCAGAGATTTAACATAACAAACCTACTACATTTGCAGCAGCACTTTGGAAAAATGCAGATGGAAACTTGTATATTTGGCTCGATGAAACTATAACTGCTCTCACAAAAACTTACTTTTTGTTGTTTTACCTCAGATGACTTCTCTAGTGAAAAATAAATATAGAGAAAAGTATTTGAAATACATTTATTTCATGCTAAGCATACTACAAATACATTTACGTATTATTTACATAATAAACTGGTATACTTATTCTGCTAAATTGAAACAGCAAATTTTGTACTTACTGCACTTTAATTGTAAGTCCAACTAAAGATGTACTGAAGTATATTACATTGTGTTAAAAGTGAAACTATTGCCAACCATACTTTTGGTACATTTTAAATATATTGCATTTAAAGACTGATATTATTCAAAGATCATACAATCCTCATCAATAGTGACATTTAAAACACATTTTAGCCTTAATATTGAGAAATGTGCATTGTGCGCAAGTAGTACTCCAAATAAAGTTTAATGTATTTTTTATATATATACTGGTAATAGAGTATAAAGAGACAAAAACACAAATAAAATGTTAACAGATTTGAACTAGTATGAAATAAATGTATTTTAAATACATTATATTACTATAATGTTAAGTTTGTAATAAATAAATTATTTATATATATATATATATATATATATATATAGGTTACAGGTGAGTTCGTATTTAATTATGTACATAATGCCTGTAGCAGTGTGTTATAACTAGTTTATAAAGTTTGTTATACAGAGTTTAATACACCCTGTGATAATACTGTGTTCATGGTGCATCTTTATAGGTGTCAATGGTAGAAGCTATTCCTGGGCTTATAAATGCAATACGTATGATCCATAGCATCTCACGTTACTACAACACCTCAGAGAAGATCACTTCCCTTTTTGTCAAGGTAAGAGTGAGGTGACTCCCAAGATAGCTAAATTTAATTTCACAGGCTTAATACTTTAAACTGGAAATATTGTCTTTCTCCTTAGGTTACGAATCAAATGATTACTGCCTGTAAGGCCTATATTACAAATAGTGGCTCGGCAACCATATGGGATCAGCCGCAGGAAGTGGTATCCGAGAAGCTTAAAGCTGCCATTCGCTTGAATCAGGTACAATGTGACATTTAGCTGGAAGATGTGTATATATACTTATATATACTTATACTTGTATATATATATATATATATATATATATATAAGATATATGTAATACAGCTCTATGAGCACGTCTGCTGAACACTGCCTTTGAACACACCACTTAACCTTCATCCACAGCTTCCTTTTTCTCTACATTTGTCTATTCCATTTTGCCAAGACAGATTTTACTAAGCTTTAAGGCTCTGATGATAAGGCTCATCCCTTTTAGACAAAGATAAACACAAGAAGAACACATAACCAGTCAACATAAATATTATTTGTGCTAGCATGAAGTCTAGTGTGACTTTATTTAGTTCAACTTCAATGTCATGACCTTGTAAAGCCAATAAACTCTGTAACTTTATCTGCAAGATTGTCAGAAATGGACATGACAGATGTTATACCTCAAAATGGATAATTTAAACAATTCCACAGCTCAAATTATAAACTTTTTTTCTACTAATTTAATTATTTAAAATACAAGCTTCACATTAAAGTTGTTCAATCAATTTATTTATTTATTTGCTTGTTTGATATATTGTTTGTATGTGTGTGTATTTATTTATTTATTTATTTTTTAGTTCATCTCCTAAACACTGCATTTGAACACAATACTTCAATTCATACCTTTTAGGGAAAAATAAATACAAGAAAACAACAAATAAGTTATAAATAATAAGTGGTGGAACAGTAGATGAATATTACATTTAAAATATTTTGATATATTGAATCAGATGAATAACTTGTAAACACAAATTCTGTTCAATATTTTAGGAATACCAGAAGTATTTCCAAAAAACCAAGCAGAAACTGGAGGAGAATCCCTCGGAGTGCCAGTTTGACTTTAGCGAGATGTACATCTTTGGCAAGTTTGACACGTTTCAGCGACGGCTGAACAAAATTCTAAACATGTTTAGCACCATTTCCACCTACAATGCCCTGCAGGACTCCAAAATTGAGGGACTGGAAACCATGGCAACCAGATTTCAGGTATCATGGCCATGACGTAGTGGTCTATTTTTAGATTTGCACAGAAGACAAAAGAACATACCCAGAAGATAATAGTGTAATTCCTGAAGTAAGGATAGGTTGCCTTCTTTAGCGGCACATACATGTTTAATTTGGATGAGGCATTTGTTAGTGAACTAAAACAACTGTGTAATCCGAGATTTAATGAAAGGTTGTCAAACACCTCAGTCTGTGCAGTCATTGTAAGATATTCACAAGAACCATATTATACACTGGGGGTATAATTAGAATTTATTAAGATCATTGTAATGTACTGTTCATAATGGTAATGTGTAAGTCTCATAGGGTGAATACTGTTAAAGTGGGACACTTTTGGATAATTTGCTATTGCTGTAGATCTACAAATGGTTACATGTCATTCCATAATATTTTGGGATGAACTTAAAGGGATAGTCCACCCAAAAATGAACAATCTGTCATCATTTACTCAACCTCATGTCATTCCAAAGCTGTATGCATTTCCTTCTTCTGCTGAAGACAAAAGAAGATATTTTGAAGAATGTTGATGACCAAACACGATTGACTTCCACTGTAATTTTTGAATGGGAAGTCAATGGCAACCGAAACTGTTTAGTTACCAACATTCTTCAAAACACCTTTTTTTCACTAAAGAAAAAAAAAAAAAAAAAAACAT